ACGGAGAGTATTTTATCACAACCTACGCCGACGTTCTGCAGTGGTACAGAACGAGCAGATGCCTTTACCCACCGCCTCACCGAGACCTACAACGCAGAGAAGCAGCCACACAACGGCAGTTGGAAGTACAAGCCATATGAACCGCCGTCTGGGCAAAGCACGTTTGCACGAAGGTTTACACTACTGATGTATGCCAACACTGCAAGAAGGCGTGAGCCACCCAGAGACACCACAATGCGAGAGATTTTCTTGTATCTATCAGCATGCGCCTCGATGGGTGGGCTCACAATGATATTTCGGTGGAAATTTGGACATATTGTGTCCTCATAATGGGCGTTTCTCGGAATTTCAGCGGCGAGGTAAATGCTTGTCGCCAGTCGGGCGGCTCCATGATCGGTGAGTCGAAGGCTGCCTCTAGGTCGGATCATGATCTTGTAGTCGCCTCGGGGCAGTGGAGGCATCCGGCTTAATCTTGTTATTCGACTCAGGCATTGCTCACGCCGTTTCCTGCTGTTATTCCCTCGTTGAGAATCCACACCATGTTTTAGTGATTGCCCGCGGGTCGACTTTGATTCTACGGGGCTCCATCCTGTACTTTCTTCGAATTCTTCACGGGAAATGGGTTCTCCCTCCACAGCGACCTCCATTTCTTCTCAGAAAGTCGGACGCGTCAAACGCGCCGACCGGCGTTTCTTGGTGGCCGCAGAGCTAGGCCGGCCTAGGCAGCATCGTCTCTGGCAGTGGCACTGCCGGTGGCTTGGCAGGCGTTAGGCGTAGCTCTCCCGCCAGCGTGGTTGACAAAAATGCGTCGGTAAAGGTGTCAAAATTCAGGTCCCCACCTGGAATTTGGTGCCGGGCGATTCCTGATGACAAGCTGAATACGCGGGTACCAAAGTCTTGTGGGCTTCTTGGTGACTTCCGCTGCAGAACATACGTTGAAACCGGTGCCGACACGACGCGCGTCCACTCGCTCCGAGGAAAGCAGCGTCTCCGCCGGCTAGGGGTTGAAATTCTTTTTCAAGCCGCGAAAAACAGAGGAATGGCGTGTTTCTCTTCTAAAGCAACGTTACTACAGTGGCTAAAATAGGAATCCTATTCCAGCCACTGTAAGGTCACTCCGTCGGAAAGGCGGGCAACGTGGCGGTCACGAGAACTAGTGGCACTGCAGTATACGATTTTGCTCAAGCGACCCGGGGTGCACGTGTTGCGATCGGTGACGAGCAAGAGGCTACCGCAAATGGTGCACTCTATTCCCACGACACTTTTCGGACTGTTTTTGGCACAGCAGACGAATGAACGTAAGCAAATTGGCTGTCTAGCCTTTCACGTTACCCGAGAAAATTCATGTTGTAGTGCAAATACAACTATATTTCCAGTATACCTAATATAATTACATGCGGTAGAAATTGGTGTATTTGGCAAAGAGGACGCCTTTGAGTATTATGGATATTGTGGGACAACAATTACACGACAATTACAAAACTTGGAGAACACTTGAGCTTCGCCTTCAATGGAAGACTGCAATAGCGTAACCGCGCTCTGTGCGGATCAACTTCTGAATTACAAGCCTAGCTTCCGTCTTGGTGTGTGCCTCAACCACCGTGCCGTGAGGGAACGAACGAGTGTGCGTGCAACACTGGCTGTTTCAACCAATCGCAGAATGTCTACTGAAAGTAGGGTTGCGAAGTGCTGACTGCACCATAATTGTTCCTTTTGCGAATCAGCAAAGGGGCCTTTACGCGTGCGTAAAGCAACACGGGAACATAAGTTAGAGCACCCTGTATAATGGCTGGGCTTTGCTACCACCCACTCGTTGCACATTTCGCATGTTTAGACGTCTGGTATGATTCTACGCTTCTACATCCCAATATTGCGTAGATGGATGAAATTCCTTCCATTACATCAATATAAGAAGTGTAAACATAAGGCATCGCTTTTTAGGCGAGGCCTTTTTGTTGTGGACTATATATGATTCGAGGGGAGATCCCTTTCGTTATCGCGCGTTGGGAAGCGCGCGCTGTGCGTAAATTCACCCCCCCCCCCTTTTCTCGCTGTCATCCCATGGTGAACTACCACAACGGCTCAGCGAACTGGGAGCGCGGGGGTAAACACAGACACAAAGCAAAGAAGAGGCACACAGCACGAGCTCTCGTGCTGTGTGCCTCTTCTTTGCTTTGTGTCTGTGTTTACCCCCGCTCTCCCAGTTCGCTGAACCATCATGAATTACCAACTAGCCCACCTTTCCATCCTACCACAACGGCTATGCAAACAAGAATGGGTAAACACCAGTGAAATTTGACCTATTCTCAAGCTAATGGTACGAAAAAATCAGACGACCGGCATGGGTTACAGCAGTGTGCCGCAAAAAAAGGAGAATTTTATTAATAATTTTAAGCAGGTGCACGATTCATTCTTTGTAACGAGAGATAATTCCTGCGTCACCACTCTTCTAGTCTATGGAGTTATACGGAGATACACGTGTGCATAGCAAGGCCCAGCCATTTTCGCGTAAAGGCCCCTTTGCTGACTCGCAACAGGAACAATTATGGTGCAGTCCGCACTTCGCAACTGTACTCTCAGTAGACATCCTAGGATAGTTTGAAACAGCCAATGTTGCACGCACAGTCATTCGTTCCCTCACCGCACGGTTGTTGAGGCACACACCGCGAGGGAAGTTAGGTTAGTATTGAGAATTTTATTCGCACAGAGCGTGGTTACACTATTGCAGTCTTCCACTGAAGGCGAAGCTCAAGCGTCCTCCAAGTTTTGTAATTGTTGTACTTGTGACTGTTTTGTAATTGTTGTCCCACAATATACATATTATTCAACGGCGTCCCCCATGCCATATCCGCCAACCACTACCGCATGTATTTGTAATTATAATGATGGAAATTGAATTTGTGTTTGCACTACAACATGAATTTTCTCAGGTAACGTGCAGGGCTAGACGGCAAATTTGCTTGCGATTGTTCATCTGCTAGCCCGTCACCGCTGGGCGAAAGCCACTGTGTAACCATAATTACACAGAAAATAAATCAACGAATAAACAAACGAACAAACAAGTTACGCGAAGCGGAGTCGTTCGCCGCTGTTGGAGACTGGCGCCAAACTATTCCGCGTACCTCAATTTAGATGAATCTGTTCTATCTCGCTACGCCTCATACATGCCAAATGCATATCCGTACAAGAAACTACGCAGAGCCAAAAACAGTCTGAAAAGTGGCATAAGAATAGAGCACACCCTTCGCGGTAGCCGCTTGTGCGTGGTAGTCGTAAACAAAAAAAAACGACATTCTGTGACAACTACAGATATTTTGAATTAAAAGTTCGTCGTTGCCATTAAAGCTATGATTCGTGACTGAGCAGCAATGTCAGTGAGCTGAAAAAGGTTACCATGAAGTTAAAAAAATTCGCCACGTACCTAGCGACATAACTGTGGATCTGCTCTGCCACATCCCCAGATGGTAGTGCAGCAAGGCTGGATCCATTGAGCAGTCCCAGGCATTTCTGTAGTACGCTTGATTAAGGTTCATCAAGTGTGCGGACCACGGGACGGCTTTCATCTCTCCCATAGTTAAGTATACCTGCATGGTACTTTAAACTGTTACCCACTTTTTTTCTAATCACATGCATCTTACCGGTACAAGTCGAACCTCACCATTAGTTGAGTACACCGTACTCTAAATCAGGGAACATTATTTCGAAACACATATTGGTAAGGGAGAGGCAACTGCTATACCATATCGTGTCGACAAGTACGGTGGCCTTGTGAACGTAAGAAAGCTGTAAATTGCAGGACAAATGAAAATTCATTTGGCATGCAGAGATGTCATGAACCGTCTCCATTGGTGCAGTAAAGTAGAAAGGTGGGGAGCTGGAACTGATTCATTGTTGAAAACTTTTCAGCTCGAATGTGAAGGAGCACAGAGAACAAAATAGAAACAAGCGCTGTCACAACTGAAGTTTATTAACGGAAGTTGCAACCACCTCGAGAACCAAAAGCGCCTGCGCAGAAATTACCTGCAATCAAAGAACTCATACAATCTAAAAAGCAAAACCCCGGCTCAGATATGCAACCTTCTCCCACATCTTGAATGAAGGACGCTTACACGAGTTTCCCTGCCATTTTATCATCGTGCATGATGACCACGACCGGCTTTATAAATAGCGACCTGCGCACGCGCCCTTCTCCTACGGGGCTACGCGGTCCAAGAAAAGCCGCGATGTTGACGGCGCGTCTCACCAGGGGGCACTGGGTTTAATCCTCAACTTCGTGTCGGCTGCTACAGCTACTACGACAGCGGAACGCGCGAGATCGTGTAAACCCCGTGCCTTTGCAAACATCAGCTGTTTTGTTTTTTGTTCTGCCTACCATGACGTGAAACAAGGCAGTATATACCAACTTCCAACCAACCAACTTCGAGGAAACGTAGAAACGTCAGCACTCGTAACGGTGGCTTGTTGCACGGGCCCGCAACCTGGGCTAGTTTTTTTCCTGGCAGCCTAGACAACATTGTCAAAGAATGTTATGCAGTGCCATGCTGGTTCTGTCTAATGAGGTATATTTAGCAGGTCCGCGAGGTGCAATTCGAAGTGCAGGAAAACAAGTAGGCTAGGTCGGCTGTTATATTTTGTGCGCGTACGTACTTGTCACTTTATCCTTTCGAGAGTTCTTGCTCAACTTCACCTTCAATTGTGGCTTGTTTGATACGCAGGTCACACAGATTGGTGCAATGAGCTCGCTAACTTTTAAACTGTATTACGGTAGTTGTACCTGCATTGGCCGTCTCGTCAGATTTATCGCGTTTTATACAGGTGACGGGAGCGCCAACAAATATTACACGCTTTTTTTTCTGGGTTTTACGCACTGTGCTTGCATTTGGGCTTCGAGGCGCACCGTAAGGACTACGGAATTAGTTCAAGGAAACTTGAACGTGTGACGAAATGAGGACACACCCAACTCATCTAATCCATGCATTCAAGCTTAGAGCAACAATAGATCACAACTTGCCAAATGTTTTATTCGTTAAATGACACACTGAATCACGAGCACATTTAGAGACAGTCTGGCCTTCAGAATTAGACCTTCAGCACCTTTCGCGAGGTGGGTTTCGTTTTGAGTGCCTTTTTCTTGGCGTTGGACACTGTGAGGCCATTGGCGGTGTTAGACAAAAATGGCCTCATGAATTTCTGCAGAATTACGCTGACCAGCTTTGTTTTGTGTGGCACACTTTTGTCCTCGGCACAATCAAAAAGTGGGCTGAGGTCCCTTTACAAGCACGGAAGCCACTCGGGAGGCAGCTTGCTCCAGGTGGTGGACAAATCCCACAAATGGTAAGGTGGGATAGGAGAGGCCTCCCCTGTCGATGCCAGCAATGAGGGCTGTGGTTGGGGAGCTGGAAGATGGAGCTTGTAGCTTCACCAGGCAGCCCTCGCATTCAATGTTATCCTGAATGTTATCCTGAATGTTGTGCAAGGCAAACCATTTTTGCACCACCTCCATGAACTCCAAAGTTGACTCCAAAGGAAATCGGGAAGGATGAGCTTTCCCTGGTTCCTGGAAATTTTCTTCGCATCCAGGAACTGTGAGCGGATGTTCTTGATAATGTGGCAGTAGTCAAATGACAGGAAGAGTGGTCGACCTGCATCAAGTGGGTGCCTAAAAAGAAATATCCAATAATTCAGATTCAAGTAACTTTAACCTGTGCACATTTGATGGAAAGCAAACATTACTCCGTATTTATGACATAAGATCTGCAGCAAAGACGCACATCAGATGTGACTTCATAAGATCCCTGCACTTACTCTACAACAGGCTGTATCTGCCCCCCTGACAAGCTTGAAAAAAACTTCGTGTTCGACTTGTGATTGTCTCCAACAAGACGAACCACTCGAAAGCCAGCATCTTCAACAGACTGCATCACATTAAGAGCAAGATGAATGTTCTTCAGCCACAGGTTCCGCACATCCGTGATCGGGAACTCGTGGAACGATATTCCTCGTGATGCGGCCGTGCGCCCGCTTGATTTGCAGAGCGGTACGCAGCAATAAACCATTGCGCAAGTTGCACCGTGTAACTACTTCGCCCAACTTCTTTCAACCATAGCTAATAGTTGAGGTAATACCAAGAGACGTGCATGCAAATGCACAAGCAAACGCGCCGATCACCCTCGCCCGGCAGCATACGCAGTCGCGAGGATGGGAGACGTGAGGATTAAAAGGAGCGCCACGGCTTGCAGCGGCGCTCGCGGAAACTATAAATAACACAACAAGCAAAAAAAAAAATCACGGACACGGCGCTGGTGGCGGATGCGCAGGTCGCTATTTATAAAGCCGGTCGTGATGATGACAGTGCTATCGCAGTGCACGTTTGTGCCCTCTTCTTTGTGCTCCGTCTCAATCACGCTGAGAAGTTTACAAGAATTCATTGGCTGTGTTATTATTTACGTTGTTCGCCGCGTTGTACCCAATCACGCCCGCCGTAGGCTGCGTTTTTAGTGACGTCGTTTATCCTGTCGCAACCGTGGTGCCAAGCGCGCACTCATCAGCTTCTCCTGAAAGGTCCACATGGGTACGCCACCAACAATTCTAGAAGACCGCCGAAAGTAGAAACGTGAGAGCTCGTATTCGCTGAGCTGATCATGCAGTCGGGGCATACAAACAGGCCCCTGGAGACCGATCGCTGGCAGCAACTGCGTACCGATGATCAAGCAGCCTTCCAAGCCACGCTAAACTGCGCAAAAATGCAAGATGGCGGGCGACTCTAGCAAACTACACCATCGAGGTAGGTCGCGGTGTCAAGTGCTTTCAACGTCGTTGAGGTGGCAATGTGATGATTGCGTGATAGCATTAGCCGGGGTGAACGCCCCCTTTCAGCGGGAGTTTCTCAAGTGGCACATTGGCTTCAGCTGCGAAGTCTTCGATCACCTGGGGTTCGAGAACAACCACTGTGAATAACGCATTTAACCGCTCTTTAGATCCTCCATAACCGTGATCATGCGAGGCAAAATGTGTGATACGAAAAATAAACACTGTGGTAAACCACCAAGAGTGTGTCTAACCTTATGCAAGCACCAATATGTAACCAATAATTGTGAAAGGCTTCATTACCGCGTCCAATTGAACCCACCGCTATGCACCGATGGCACACGTTTCAGCTTTCGTAGGTTAACCACTTGTACGTAATGCTTGGGTGGTGATTTTTTTTGTATGCCTTCCATAGATACACGGTATTCAAACGTTCCGCTTACGCTGGCATTAGGAGCCCCATACAGTTACGGCCTCTGCAAAGGCCACAAAACACTTCCGAAGATTACGTGAAATTACGTAGTTATGGCGTTGTTACGTCATCAGGGCAACAGTAACAGTAGTTGCTCGCTTTTCGCCCTCTTTCCCTCCAACTGTGCGTGCCGTTTTTTCCTGTGGGCAAACGCTTTGTACAAAATGGACATTAATAACCTGAAATAACCCCTCAACTTGGGTAAACGACTTCTCCTGTAGCGCACTACCTTTTGTTTTTTTTTACCACCTACAAGTCGAAGTAAAACTTTACTCTCGTGCTAACTGAGTTTTTGAACGTAGGAAGGACAGTAATTTTTTAGTCCATTGAAGTTTTCAGCGAGTATAGAAAGAGATATTTTTCTCTGCCTTCACAAGGTTTTTTAGGTGATTTTTGAGTTATTTCAAGAGGACGCATTCACACAGAGAGCCGACGAATTTAATAATTATGAAATGCCAGCTCAATTCATTACACAGAGATTAGCATTAAAAGGAACAATCACACGCTACAAATGCAGTGTAAACAACGCCACAACAGACTGCACGCGTTAGCCGACGGTACTTCGACAATTCGCTATATATAGGCACGACATTTTGACCTGCTATGTAGAGGCGGTGCGAGAGCTGATTTTTTGCATCGACGAACAATAATGGTTCGAAGTGCAAGCGTAATTTTATAGTGGGCTGCAAGACACCACGATTAACACAGACCTTTCATTTGAGCCCACCCGATCCCACCTTTTTTGAATATCTAATAATTAGCTGGCACCCAGCCTATTGGCCTCCCCCCAGTTAGCACGGCCGATGCACAGGCCCACAAAATATGCCTATGCAAACACAAGTGACGGCAGCTCAATCATTTTCATTGAGCGGCGGTGCACAAACTCACTAGCAGCATGTATTCAGGACAATAAGCGCAGAAGAGCAGTGCCACGTCTGTACCGACGGCGCACAAGGCCTTTTCGAGGAGCAAGGCTATGCGATGAAAGACAGCTGGCGATCACAAAATTCATCTCCTGTGCGAATTTTGTCGTCATTTCAGACACAAATGAAAAATACGGGTCCGCTATCTGCGGCATCTTACGGGGCGATGTATGTTCTTCTAACGAAGGAGACGGACCACCATCCAGGTTTTCGCCTGTGCTTACCGGCGCCCGCTCGTTTGCTCCGTCTGCCTCGTATCGGTGCTCGGCTAGGTGTTCGACAACGGTTGGCGCCTTGAACGGACAACTCGGGCTGCACTTTACTCCAGCTGACATCGCCTTTTGTGGAACAAAGTCTATGCGATGATTCTTCCACCTGCCCCAGTGACGCCCTCACACTGGCCACTGGCCGACTCGTTGCCGAAGACACAGTGAAGCCTCTTGTTTATCGCTTCGAAGTTGTAACTTCAGAAAGCAACCACCGATAATGACACCAGCTTTGTTACCGCTGGGAGCTCTTCCCGGTTCGGCACGGAAGCGAAGTATGCGCGACGTAGTGGTTCGGAAGCTTGCGTTCGGACGGTCGCTCCAAAATGTAAAAAGCACGCGAGATCCGTTAGCTGAACCAAACACATACATAACGAGCTTCTCACAACACCTGTCTCCAGGGCCTACTGACGGTAAAATCCAACAATTTGCGAAAATCTACAAGTTAAATATCAGCAGCTGTCTTTTTTTTCTTGGTGCAGCCCCCCCCCCCCCCTTTTTTTTTGTTCTTTCGTTCACAGAATCCTTTCATTGCTCGTTGTGTTTATGTTTTTTCCAGTTCCAGTGAAAGTGCGTTGACTCGAGGTCAACTAGAGGTGCGGTAACGCCATACAAAACTTTGAAAAAAAAAAATAATATCTGTGGTACTCGCTTATCTTCATGGTTCACTGAGAGGGTCATCCATGAAGATGGGGTGAAATGGATCGGAGGGCGGGGTAATGGAGCAAGACCTGCTGAAGCAGCTGCAACTTGCTGTCACGTGGTGAACAACATTGAAATGCAGGTAAAAATCACGTGATAGGAAACTCCCGACGAGGTGAAACTGAATTTTTACATCCTTTTACAACGTACCTCAGAGGTAGCGGTAAAACATTCTGATGTGCCACCACTGGCGTAGCCTAGGGGGAAATTGGTGTGGGCAGTTCGAGCCCCCTCGAAATTCTTCGTCCAGAACCCCCCCCCCCCTCCTCACACTCACTCAACTTTTTTTTGTCGCTTCGCGCTGATATTCTTCAGAAACAAACGCTGCTACTATCAATATCATTGCTGGGTGCTTTTACAATGAACAATATCTGCTTAAGAAAAAACGTGTCTCGGCGTTGCTCAAAGCATAGCATTCTGTTTGATTTTGGGCAGGAGTCTCGAGCGCGAGCACTTCATGTTGGCTCGGCGACGGGAATAATGCTCAAGCGATGGTCATACCTGCACCCACCGGAACAGATCTCGCCTGAGTCGATCACTACAAGAATTTTCATTAGGGAGAGGTTCGTTTTAATGACAATAGCCAGGCACAGTTCCAAGGTCTGATAGGCCACATTCAAGCATATTACAGTTTGACTGTTCGTTCGTGGGCTAAGATATACTCAAGCCAAGGAATAACATTTATATTTCGTTCTGCTAACACCAACACACACACACACACGCACACGCGAGCGCCTGAATATTCGGTTTATACACCTAAATCAGCTTGTATGCGAGTGTACAATATATTTACACATATATACCTTTATTATGCCCTAACATCTGAGGCACTCCGAAGGGTTGTCTAGTGACGAAGGTGCAACACAGGCAAACGTGCAGACTAATCAGAGCCTTAGAAAGGCCTTTTAAAATACTCATGTAACTTAGGCTTATATATAAAAAGATGGCGGTCATAAACCTAAAGCAGCGTAACGAGAAGTGCAGTGTGGGCAGCTGTAGTGAGCACAAGCTTTATTGTTCAGCACTGTGGCAAGCAGTGCAAGAATAAAAAGCATGAAGCTAAAAAAATATACGAAAAATTATTTTTATTGATTGCCTTCATCTGTTCGTTTCTTGACATTGACATGACTAGAAGGGCACACTAATCAATTTCTGCAAATAGCGACATGACGCGCGACAAGAAATGCACAGATTGGGAAAATTTAAAATCCGCGTAATCATGTAGAAAATCACGTAAAATTACGAGCTATATACATAGTAACCATAATATTTTACAAAAAATGAAAGCAAAACTTTGTGCGAGCAATGTCTCACGCCGCAGACACGCACACTACATTGTGGAATACTGTTGATTCTCTTTTTCAATTGAACCAAAGGTTATACTGCGCATTGCTTGTCCCATAATATGCCCCATATGTTACCCAAAATTTGCTAGATTTACCACATGCAAATTTGGGTTGTTGCACTGTCGTTCACACCTTTCGTATCCGCTAACCACATCTGCAAGTGAAAGATGCTACTTAAAAGCAAGGAGTAGGCAACGGGAGAGTACAGGATTACTCTGCCATGCTGTCAAAGTGATTTTTAGCAATGTCTCATACAGTTGAACTTACTTCCTTACAGCTGAACTTACTTCCCGAACTTACAGCTGAACTTACTTCCTTACGAGGGATGCGCACACTGAATTCATGAAAACAGTCTTTTTTACTACTAACCCGTGTGGTCCACTAGTTATGGTGCTCCATTGCTGACCCGCGGATAGCGGGATTGAATCCCTGTAGTATTTTCGATGTAGGGAAAAATGCTAGAGTACCATGCACTTTGATTTAGGTGTATGATAAAGATTCAAAGTGGCAAAATTTACGGAGCACCCCACTACGTCATCTCTCGTTGTCACATCGTGATTTTGGATGTTCCTCCACCTCCTCCTTCTCGTTCTTATCATCATCATCATCATCACCATCATCATCATCATTATTATTACCCTGACTTCGTCCACTGAAGGAAGAAGGCCTCTACAATGTTTCGCCAGTCAAC